AAAAAAAAAAAAAAAAAAAAAAAAGATATCTATTTTCCACAATGAACTGGGCAAGGACAGTTAGAGATGCTTGCCTCACTGCAGCCTACTGGACTACCACAGATAGTCAGGGTACTGGTAAATCTGCAAGAATTTGATAGTGGCTGCCCTTTTCTGCGTTCCCAGCACCTGTTCTGACTCTGAGTTTAAAGCATATCCCCAGATGCATCGCTCAGGCCACATGCACGCATGCATCTCCACAAGGAAGTTCATCTCAGTTGATCTCTAAGATGAGAGAACAGGTGGCTGTGGAGGCTATGGCAATGTCAGGGAAGCACACGAATGGAGGTAACGCCACCTTGAACAAAACAAGCTGTGAAAGCATCTCTGTGGTGGTTTGGTTGTTTTGTAGGTGTTACAGCAGAGATGAGACTTAAGCAGAATTTGAGTGAAGCGTTTCTGCCTAATATTCCATTTATCGTGGTTTAGTAGCATTTACAAGGAACACTTTGAGATACACATTACAGATAGTGGGAAAGCAAACTCAGAGGTGTTTTCTGGAAAACCCATTCAGGATAGCCTTATTGAGGGACGAAGTCTTGGGCCACCAGGTACCTGAGAAGAGTTAGGTAGGCCAAGGCCACATCACACCACGAAAGAAAGATGAGTCCTGTGTGATGGATGCTCTGGAAGAAGGGAAGACAAGGGAGGGTCACAAAGTTGTCACAAAGGGATGTCTCTCAGGGCATTTGCAGCTTGAATGATTGAGAGGAGGACAGGAGAACATGTCACATGTCATTACAGTTGCCAAAACAGAGGATAAAGAACTCTAGTAGTCTGGACAGGGAGTAAATGCTGGTGGGACGGGTGCTTTAGCAAGGGACAGAGTAGGAAAGATGTAAAAAAAGAGTGGTGTTTTTGTGAACAAATCACCAGTGCTTCATCCTGTGCAAGCAGGATTAGATTTACCAGGCCAAAAGCAATGTACTATGGCTTTGTGATAAAAATACTAATTTTTAACTTAATAGAAATATTTAGTAGCACTTTTCTTACTTTTTTTTTTTTTTTTTAACGTTCACTAAATTGAAGAGCTATGTAAGGGTTTCAGGTTCCAAGTACGATACTGCAGCGTCACGGTTATTAAAAAATGGAAGTGAATGTGCTGCCTGCTCTTGCCCTAACCTCAGATAGTCTAATTTGCTCTGTTTCACTTACTTGCTTCAAATGCCCAGGCTGCCTTGAGGAAATTTACGCCATTCTGTAGAACTTGGTGTATCCTGTGAGAGACCAGTGGTGGGAGAGGAAGGAAATTCCAGTTTGATTTTAACACAAAGAACAAAAAGGAATAAAAAATGAAACCACTGTATTTATGCTTTGTGAGGTGTCAGCACATACTTCCTTTTTATGAAACATGAAAACATAGGACTTCTAGTTTTGCTTTTTTTTTTTTTTTTTAAGCAAGAGAGTAGCAACATGCATATATGTATACGTGTGTGCATATAGCGACACAATACCAACATCTACTGGAATATCCTCCTCTTCAAGTAGCACTCTGTGCCCTGCCTTGCCACTTGCTGAAAAGGTCCCCAGCTTCTGACTGACCCCTGCACTTACCTGAAGGGGAATAAAGGCAAGCAGGCAGGAGGGAGGTAGGATGCCACTGCCTGTCCTCATGAGGACATGGCAATTGCCCTGAGCAGCCAGGCCTGTGTCCTGCCCTGCATATGTGCTCCAGAACAAGGCCACAGGGGGTTTTCAGCCTCTGATGGCTGCTTTGTGCATCCCCATTGTTTTCTGGCTGAGGCTGCAGTCTAACAGGAGCACAGGAGCTACAGGGGACCTGCTTTCTGTCAGGTCCAGTTCCCCGCTCTTGCAGGCAATTCACCTACACCACACAGTCTGATGACTGGCTTCCATCATTTGTGACTAGCGAGGCTGAGTGCCTCCGCTGCGCCCCTTCCCAAAGATGAATTGTCTGATGGAGGAAATCTGCTGAGCCCCAGCTAGGTGATGCTCGCTGCCTCTTGCGTGTCTGCTCATGCGCTGGGGAGAAGAGGAAATCCACAGCCCCTTCTGCTCCTTGACCGTGAGGCTGAATTGTGGGTCTCCACAGCCACTGTCTCATTGGCCAGTGCTCATCCTTTTGAAATTGGGGATGGTAGCTGTCTGCTGCTTATCCTTTTATCTCACTGCAATGGGATCAGCTTGAGCCGTGCTGTTTTCTAGCACTCTTCCACCCAGCCACCTCTTCAAGAGCAAGCAACCATTTGGAAAACCTGCTCTCACATCTAAGAACATGTCCACCTTTTCATTATCATGATAAAGCTTTGGTCTCCAGGTGACACAATTCCCTGTGGCAATTCCCTGAAAATCTCTCATATTAACAGTACTGCAGAACTCTCTTTCCACATCCCATCTGATTTTAGGGTCAGTAACAAAATGCCCATACCACCAATGCTGCGCTCCTTTACCACCCTTTCCCCAAATGATTTCAACTCTATTTCTGTTTTATTTATTCTCTCCAGTACATGATCCCGTTCAGTGCTCACACTTTTACCTTTGGTTTGATTTCCCTCTTGTGATGGTTGTCCCACCATGCTTCTCCTATCTTTCTTGTATCTAGTTTCAAATCCTGCATCAATACTTGCAGTTCCCCCACTGTCTTGCCAGATTCCTCAGCATCAGTGTACAAACACAGGACTTGCTACCTCTCACTTTCTGTTTCCTGGCTCTCTATACAGATGTCTGTCGACATCTGACCTTCTTAGAAATCAGTTCCTCAGCTGGGGACCAATGGGATCAGCAGCACAAGATGACAGTCAGGGCAGAGTGAGAGGCAGCAAAACCGTTTTTATCTGTCATGGCCCTTTCAGTGCTTTTCAAGATGAGGAACCAGATCCCTAGGGGACGGACACGCTCACTTTCTTTATGAAAAACTGCTCTCACGTAATTTTGCTGAACAGTGGTGTGATGGCTACTTTATCTGACATGCGGTTTGCAAAACAATCTGCAGCCAAAACATTCCACGCAGGGACTGGTAAACATTATGTACCAAAACTACCGCACAAACTGGCCGAGAGGACAATTTCTTACTTTGTTTAAGTTAGGAGTAAGGGGAAGGGGGAAAACACTGAAGAATGACCACGCTTATAAAAAACACCTTGTTAATCCATTTTCATTTCATGACTTCTCACTGACTTGACATCTTAACCCATAAAATCATTACACCTAAGGTACCTTATGGAAGAGTTAGCAATGGGTATAAAAACCCCCAGTGAAGCTATACCGATTCATACCAGCTGAACAGATGCATGCTTTCTCCTTTGATGTTTTCAAACAGAGCATGAATCAGTGTGAACTGGCACTGTTCTCAGAGAGTTGCACCAGCAACCATTGGCAGTACTGAGTATCACAGGTATATTTATTTTACAGGGCAGGGCATGGATACTGATAGGAAACTTGTCCAAGAAAGCTGCAAAAAGACACTCGTTTTTAATTTCTTGAGCTTTAATATTGCCAAAGTATTTTTTTATGCTGGAGTCACTGCCTCTTTAATCCACTTTTACATCTTTTCATTTGTAAAGGCATACCTTCTGAGTCAGATAAGGTTCAACCACTAGAAAAAAGTTACAACATAAATATTACGGCAGTAAATCACATAAATGACAAGCTTAAACCCGTTTCTCCTAGCCAGGAGTAAGAAAGGAAAGAAAAATAAGGAATTCTGCTTTTCCTCCTCCTTTCTCCAACTCTTACGTGAGAGGGATCCCTTGGGATGCAGATCTCCCTGCTATGGAAAGTGGAGGTGGGGCTGTGACATTAGCACATAATCTCTGGTGCACTGCCCGCCAAGAGCCCTCTGTACCCCACTGCCTCCCATGCAGCCTACCAGCAAGGAAGCTTACCCCCCCACCGCCCCCCCAGGCACCAGGGCACAGTTGGAGAAGTCCTTGAATCCTAGAATCGTTTTGGTTGGAAAAGACCTTTAAGATCATCAAGTCCAACTGTTAACCTAACACTGCTTGCTCCCACCACCTCCACTGGCTCATCCACAGGTGTCCTGGGCTGCAAACCCCAGACATCCCCCTTGGCAAGCAAACCTCCACCCTTAACCATCACAGATCTGTCACGCTGCAGCCAATGGCTTCCAGTTCCCTGAGCTGGAGGCCAACAGGGCCTTGAACAAAAGCAGGCCAAGAAGCAAAACGTTCAGTGGAGCATTTGCGTAGAGCAGACTAGATTGACCTGTGGCCTCCCATTTCAACAAAATGACACAGAAACGAGAGCTACAGAAGGTGCTACCTGAATTCACAATTCTTTTTTTTCTTTTCAGATCACTGAGAGAATAATTGTTTTATTTGTTGTGATCAACAGTCAGGAAGAAGTTCAAGGGAAATATGTCGTGTGTGTTTTATTTTTCCTTTGGAATTTATTAGATGTGGTCAGGTAAGGAGTTAATGGCAAAACCACGAGGGGAAAATGGATCAATCTTGTGAGCAGAAACCCACCCCCACTGTGCTGCAGGCTCATTGGATTATTTTGAAATTGATAGAAAAGCATAGTATCCATTTTAAATAAAAGCTTGGACCTTATAAGCCACTTGCTGATTTTTACAAAAATTTGCATAGTTGGGAGGCAGTGACTTACCAAAGTAAATTGTTGCATTAACATTTGTAGTTCAAAGGATTTGACCTTTTTGACAAAAATCTAGAAGGAAATCACAACTACCTCCCAGGGAACAGCAGTTTCCAAAACTATTTACAATCCTATTGCTTTAGTTATTTCTTTTTTTTAACACCTCACTTCAATTCAAGATTGACAGCACAGTAAGGCAGCACCGGCAGAACAGAACTTCTTACAAAGGCGAAAAGACTGTTCTGGGTTAACTGCACAGTGCTTTTCAAGAAGCCAAGAGCTCCTCCTGCAGAGACTGAGAATTTTGGTGTAGTAGGGCAGGTATTGAGCTGCAGGGACAATGTGCATGAGGCAAAATGGATAGGAATGCAATTCAGGATTTTTATTTTAAAAATTTTGTATGGTGGAAGGTTACCAGCACCTCCCTGTGGTAAAAGCATAATGGTGAAAATTCCATGAAAATATGAAAACATTGAATAATGAAAACATTACTGACTTTTGCATCAATATCTGAAGGCAGTAACATTTCTCAAATGTAACTTAAGCCTCTGTGGACCTCAGCTGGGACACTTACAGCAGAGACGAGCTATGGAACTCAGAAGCATTTGAAAAAGACACAGCCTTTACGGCAACCTCTATATGGCAGCAATTTTTTTTTCTTTATCTTTTTTCTTCCTGCTAAAATAGCTTTCTGCTATTTTAAATACATTGCTTTGAGGACTGACTGGGGCATATGGATTGTATCTATGGCAAAGGCTGTGTATGCTATAAAAGAGATCTGAAAAAGGGAAGTGTCAGGACTGGTAAAAAAGACCCTAAGTCTGCTTCAGAGTATTTGTACTACATGTGTTATTAAGCTACTACTTGTATTAATTATTTGGATTATTGCTCCATCCCATTTCTTTTTGAGGCTTGTAAAGCTAAAATAGTAGAACCTAATCTCAAATGAAAGGGCTCTGTGCAGCTGGAGAGAGGCCTAAAGTGTAAACAATATTGGCTGTAAAGTCCTGACAGTGCATAGTAGTCCTATCAATGCATCATTATTTTCTATCATGGCTAAAAAACAAAGTCCAGCATCATAGCTATAACAGCAGCTGTTTAATAGGCAAGACACTGGGGTCTATAGCAGCAAACGACCAGTTCAAATAATAATGCATAGCACAACTAATACAGATTTAGAATTCTTACCTGATTTATTTTACAGCATCTGTGCCATGTCCTAGCATTTCAAAGAAGCAATCATGTCTAAAAGCTTACAGGAATCTGTCCCATCCTTTAGCCAACTAGTCTTGAAGTATTACAAGTTCTCCCACTTAGATCTTTGGGACATAAATATCCTGTGCATTATGGCTAATGATATGCTGAGATTAAATTCTGCAAGGTTTTCCACATCTGATCTTTCCTGCTTTATACAACAAACAGTGCAAGAAGGGGTATAGACAGGGAGTAGCTGTTTCCTTTTTGTATTGGGTTGAGATTATGCCTTTAAAGCAGTAATAATAAAAAATGGAAACAAACCTGAGGTTGCAGAGGGAAAATTTGACAGAAGATGGCACATTTATAGCCTATCAAACTCTTCTACAGTCCAGAAATGATGCAAAATTAGTCTAATTAATAAGAAGGGAATACAGAAAGTTTGTTTGCTGCCTGGTCCATCTGTCAGTCCTGGCTAACAGTGGCTTAAACCCTCTCATTTTCATATTTCTAGCAAGACCACAGGGCAAAAAGCCTTTCAGCTGACCAAAAATGTGATCAGACCTGTTTCTCTGGTGTTTAGAAAGTGGTTGTACCACTAGATCAGACTAGCTAGGATTAACTCACCTTCAGAGACCAAAATCCTAGGCGTTCTGGTATCACAGGGAGCAAGAGTAACAGCCACAGGAGTGCAACTGATTTTTTCGCACCTACTACCCCTTCTGAGGTCCAGGGAAGGGGCAGCCATACTATAGAAGATTAAGTACCTGCAGTTACCTTGCTGTTTAACCTCCTCTAGCAGTGGTTTAGCTAGTTCAGCAGTCATAAATCAGCATTTTCTCAGTCTCAAGCAACAATCATATTCTGCCTGCCTCTCTCAGTAGTAACATCTCTATCTGAAATCCGTTTTCTGATGGACCAGTATGAAATCATACTGGTTTCTGATACAGGCTTCGGGCTGGAGGTCTGTATTGCTGTCTGCCTGCTCTAGGGTAGCACCACAGACAAACCCTTCCAATGCAATGAACCATCTACTTTCAGACATCAGTCAGAGCCTGAACAAAACTGTTGCAGTAGTTCTCCGAAATTTTATCAGATAGGCAGCTCCAAGCTCTTCTGCAATTCCCTTGGGTTTTTCAATAACGTAACTTTAAAATAAAGGCATGATCATCCCCCTCTGAGCTCATCTGCTGTTCCTCTTGGTGCAGGTACACTTACAACATGCTAGCAAGGACGGGAATATACTACCTACCACTGACATGGCTCAACTTCTCACTATGCATCCCACTCTATCCCCTTTCAGTTCTGGCTAAAGGTAAGCAGATGGGAGAGGTATCGACAACTTGCATAATCTTCAATAAAATTCAATCCTTTCAGTTGTCATTTGTGGTTAAGATATGTCTTTTTGTGTTACCAAAGTAGCCAAAAATGTTTATGTACTCTCACATTAACCCATATGCCACCTATCTTTCTCTTCTCTGTACTTTTTTCTTTAACAGGTGTTCTCTAGGGTTTGGTTTTTTTTCTGGGTAAAGTGGGAAAATTCCACCACAAGGCGCACAGATTTCCCCATTCCAGACTGACTACATCAGACAGCAGGTCCCAAAGCTGCCTTCTCCCCCACTGAGGCTGATCTTACTGGCTCTGGCCATGCTTGGCAGCTTCTCATACTTACACCAGGAAATGTGCCCACTGAGATCATACTGCAAAGCAGTGCAACTACAGGAGCGACAGAACTTGTTATTGCATAGGAAACACTTGCTAATTCTAGTATTAAGAGCAATTAGCACCTCAGACCTACAAAACTGAACTCAATGGGAAAACATGTGCACATGCATGCGAATGACATGGTAAATTCAGCATGTAATATAGCTAACTGTGCCTTAAAGGTAACTTTTACATGAAGCTTTTTGATGATCTCCCACCTCCTTTTGACTAAAGATTTACCATGTTATTTTACAGCGTTTGCAATCTGTGTATCACTGCCTTATTTTGAATCCTTTGGCACATACTCCGTCAAGCTACCATTTCCATTCGCCTTCTCAATCTACTTCCCCTATGTTCTGAAAATGTACCTGCTAGTGCTGTTTGTAGGTAAGTATCTCATCTTCCAGAAAGCTGGGTCTCAACATGACTGGGACGCCTGTGGCAACAAAAAATATCAAACCAGTATAGCTCCTTTGACAAACTCTAACTCTCTGTGCCACGTCTCCTGCAGTCCACTGCAGGGAAGGTCATCAGCAAGCTGTTTTGATTTCTGATATCGTTCAGTACAAATAATTGAATTTGGAAGAGACACACTATGAGCGAGGCATAAAAATACAACCCAAAAATATAAAAGATTGCTTCAGTGATCATGGCCTTACAGCTACTTACTGAAGTTTGTTTGCCTTTTTAATTTTTTAAAATAAATTCCCATTTGATCACTCTTATTCTGTGCAACCCCCTCCTCACTCATTCCTCCCAGCTGGTACAAGAAGTTATATCTAAATTAAGACTTTTACAGCTTGATTATCCAAAGGGATGCAAAAAGAGCCCATCCTGCGTGTAAATAGACCCCTTCTCCTTCTCAGCAAAATACTTTTGAAAAATTTGGGCTGAATTTGGCTGCCTTACAGCCAAGTCTTCGTTATGTCATTGGCTTTAATGCTAATTTGAAGGATCTCATCTTTGTGATGCAGTGTTCTCTTCCTAAGTTGATGGAAGGAACTGTGCAAGGTTGCCAGATGAAGGGTCACACTGTTCCTTCTAAATGAATTGAAGACACTTCAGAGCCTACTCCCTTGTTCTTACATCATTTTGTGTTTTGATTCAGGTATGTGCTTTATCACCCAGAACCTCTTCTCTGAAAGGAAGGCACACCTAGCGAAAGGCAACATCAAAAAGAAAAGAAGCTAAATTGATATTTTGTTTGGAAATAAGAAATGTATTCCCAGTGGGCTGCTGCATATCATAGGTTAAAAAGAAATTAGACAAAGTTTTTCAATGCAAAACTCCTGTTTGCATGTACATCATCTGGCTGTGTAGGATTTTCAGAAAAGGCAAGTCTCTTCAATGCATCTCAAAAATGGAGCAGCTCAAAATAACTAGTTACTTTTGAAAGCTTTGACCTCAAATGGCAGGAGTTTTAAAAATGACTATTTTTTTAAACATGTATTAGAGAACTCTGAAAAAACCTGAAGAGTGCCTCCACTTGCAATCACACTAACAACCCTTATTTTGGTGTTATTTCTTGCCTCATTAGCAACAGATATTCTGTAATGACAATGCCATTTAATCTGTAAGAGTATTTTATTTTAGGCCAACACGTACGTGCCTCATATATATAAGTGCTAAATTGGCCAGAATTTGAATCTCTAAAGGAACAGAAGCTGGAAACTTTGCAACCTATGAGATTCACATGCTGATTAGTCCCAGGCATTCACAAAGGATCCCTCATGTTCTGGCGCAACTTTCACTTCTCCAAACAAGATTCCAGAAAATGCAGCTAAACCACAAAGGCAAGCTATCAGGTACTCACTCATATTCAAGGGGATATTTAAGGCTCAGAAGTAAAAGCTTATAATTATGTGTCTGGCAGACACTAAGAATCTCTTGCCCTGCAACAATTTTCTTCCAAGCTGAACAGCAAGACAGATATGCAACAGAAGTGTGATATAGTCAGGCCAAATATACGTTGTTCTTTAAAGGGACATGAATGACTACCAAAACCCATGTGCAAAGTTCTAGCCATTTTATTCAAGTGTGCTGCTCCTCATACTTCTGTAGGACTATCTGTGAAAATGCAACTAGAACATAGTCTCTTCAAGGGTTGGGAATGAAGAATACAGACAGCAACCCAGTGGACTGTATGGGCAAAAATGGACAAATAACTGCTTACAGGCTGGAGGGGGCTTTTCTAATGTTTCATCCACATCGATTATCACCTACATTTGAATTCAAGCAGGTGAGGGAGAAAAGTGAGGTTATTTTTTTGAGCGTGACTGAAAACTGGGGGGAGAGAGGGAAGATAATAGTTGGAGGGAAGATAGTATTTAAATGGAATGTGAACACTATCACAATAGGAAGAGGCTTTAGGCTGCATGACTTTCTAAACCATGCAGCCTAAAGTGGGTATAGAAGGAAAGAGAGAAGCTGGCCTCGATGAACTCAGTTGTTACAGAAGGTCACCTACTAGAATTTTTATTTAATATACGTGGCAGACAATGCCTGCAGTAGTACAGGGTCAGCCTGGCTTTTTTTTTTTTTTTTTTTTTTGGAAAGTGCTGCAAACAGAGGTAGGAATTTGGAACTTAGTAGAGAAACAGAAGTACCTCCACTTTGGACTTCTGTCTGACCCAAACCATGTTGTGGACAACATGAAGAAATGTATAGAGCAGCTGAATAGGCTGAAAGCTTTGAGGAAGAGAGCCAGAATAAGAACATTTCACATCAAGCCACTATATAACATGCTGAAAGTGAAACATGGACATTTTTCTCCTTGGAAAGTCAATCTAATGTGTTTGTCATCAAACTGCCTGGAGTTAACATAACCTGTAAGAGGAAACATGACATATGATATTGTATTGGGTCTACCTGGCAAGGCTTTGGGCAGTGGGGAAGCTGCAGGGATGGCCTCTGTGAGAAGCCAGTGGCTTCTCCCATGCCAGACACAGATAGTTCCAGCCAGCTCTGAAACAGAGCCACTGCAGGACACGCAAAGCTGACAGCACCTCTGTGAAAATATATTTAAGAAAAGGTAAAAAACGCTATGCAGCAGCTGGAGAGACAAGAATAAGAAAATGTGAGAGAAACAGCTTGGCAGACACCAAGGTCAGTGGGGAAAGAGAGGAGGAGGTGCTCCAGGTGCTGCAGCAGATTCCCCTGTGGCCCATGGAGAAGACCATGGTGGAGCAGGTTGTCCCTCTGCAGCCCATGGAGAACCACACTAGACAAGCTATCCACACTGCAGCCTGTGGAGGACCCCACACTGCAGCAGGTGGATGTACTGTGAAGGAAGATGCAGCCCATCGGGAGCCCACACAGGAGCAAGTTCCTGGCAGGAACTGTGGCCCAAGAGGGACCCACACTGGAGCAGCCTTTTCCAGATGGACTTTACCGCACGGAAAGGACCCATGCTACAGCAGTTCTTGAAGAGTTGCAGCCTATGAGGAGGAACCATGTTGGAGCAGTTCATGAAGGACTGTATCCCATGGGAGGGACTCCATGCTGGAGCAGGGAAATGGTGTGAAGAGCAATAAGAAGCAGATATGAAGCTTTATGAGCTGACTGCAACCCCCATTCCCTACCTGGCCTGCACCACTTGGGGAGGGAGGAGGTAGAAGAGTCAGGAATGAAGGAATGAAGTTGAGCCTCAGAAGAAGGGAGGGGTGGGGGGAAGGTGTTTCTAGTTTTGTCTTTGTTTCTTACTATCCTACTCTATTTGTAATTGGCAATAAACTACACTTCCCCAAGTAAAGTCTGGTTTTGTGACAGTAAATGGTAAGTGATCTCTCTGTCTTCATCTTGACCCATAAGCTTTCTCATCCTATTTTCTCCCTCTTCTGTTGAGGAGGTGAAGCAAGAGGAGTGACTGAATGGGCATCTGGCAGCCAGTCAAGGTCAAACCTACCACAGATATTCATATTAAGCCATGTTTATTGTTTTATGTTAAAAAAAAATCAGGATGTGATGCTCTCCCTTGGCATTGATTCTTACAGCTGGATAAAAGGCTGGAATAGGAGAAGGTTCCTTTAAGATTCACTATGGGGAGGACCCCCAAACCTGAATTGCAGGAAGAAGGCATGAAGTTAATGACAGAAGACTTCGCCACCTCCTTCTGGTGCAGAGGTAACTTGGGGCAGGCAATTGGGAGATCCAGGGAATCAGCCTTCCATGTGTGACCACAGCAGGCCACTGTAACTTCAGCTGCAACACCTTAGGTTAGTCTTTGGAAAAGCTTGCGATTGGGCAGGCAAAAAGGTACTTAAAAAGTTACCTGAGTCTTTCCACCTCTAGGAACTTAAATCTTAGTTCAAAACTTGTATCAGTCTTGAGATCCCGGCTCATCTGTATCTCCATTTAGCTCATCTGATAGAGGAATCAAAACAAGCATTGCTCTTATAGATCTACATAAACACAGGCAAAATAATGCATTGTATAGACAAGGGGGAAGAAAGCTAGGGAAGTGATGCATAACCGAAAATGTTAAACAACCTCTTTAGGAACAGAAAGGTATTTGATGATTATATCGTCTGACATTTAAAAGCCCACTAGTTTTAGTACAGTTTAAGTACTGTGAGTTTGAGTTCATAAATATGCACATGAAACACATATAGTGTGAAAAAGGAATTATACCTAAGTGTTAAAGATAGAAAAAAAAAATCATGCCTTCTACTTGCCCACAGAACAGGTACGTTGGAGTCACAAGAACCTGTCCTACCAATATGTTCCCCACCAGCTTCTTTACTGCCTTCCCACACATCTAAAATGCAGTAGCAACTAACTTGCCCACCTGAGTCCTTGAAAGTCATTGTCTCCAGATCAACCTGTTATTTTGAAAGAGATCACCTGGAAATAAAAACCATACTCATTTCCCCAGCACTAGCACACAACAGGAGGAATAGTCTCTCCATCATAGCCTATGTGTGTACTTGCAGGTACAGCAGCCCAATAGAAATGGAACTATAGAGTGAAAGGATTCACACATGGAGGACCCAACATCCAACTCATCTGCCTTTCAGAAGGTTTTACTTCAAACCAGCTCTACTTTAATCCTGTGATACACAGAGTTGTAGAGTACACCGGAGTATTTAGAATAGAATAGTTCCAGTTGCAAGGGACCTGCAATGATCATCTGGTCCAACTGCCTGACCACTCCAGGGCTGACCTTAAAGCATATTTTTAAGGGTATTGTCCAAATGCCCCTTAAACAGTGACAGGCTTGGGGCATTGACCACCTCCCTAGGAAGCCTGTTCCGGTGTTTGACCACCCTCAAAGAAATGTTTCCTAATATCAAGTCTGAACGTCCCCTGATGCAGCTCTGAGCCATTCCCACACATCCTGTGGCTGGATCCCAGGGAGAAGAGCTCAGCACCTCCCTCTCTACTTCCCCTCCTCAGGAAGCTGCATGAGGAGAGCAATGAGGTCACCCCTCAGCCTCCTCTTCTCAGCCACTCCTCAGAGGACATGCCTTCCAGCCCTTCCACCAGCTTTGTTGCCCTCCATTGTATGACTGGGACGCAATCAAGTGCCCCTCAACATCATTCTTAAATTGCGGGGCCCAGGACTGCACACAGTAGTTGAGGTGAGGCCGCACCAATGCTGAATACAGCAGGACAATCACCTCTTTTGGCCAGCTGGTGATGGTGTGTTTGATGCCCCCCAGGGTGCAGGTTGCCCTCCTGGCTGCCAGGGCTCACTGCTGCCTCACACTGAGCCTGCTGCCGACCAGCAGCCCTAGGTCCCTTTCTGCAGGGCTGCTCTCCAGACTCCTCTCCCAATTTATACTTGTGCCCAGCATTACTCCACCCTGGGTCTGCGCAGAATCTGGCATTTCAACTTGTTACATTTCGTCCCATTAACGATTGCCCAGTGCTTCCATCTGTTCAGCCCCCCTTGCAAAGCCTCTTGTCCCTCAGGAGAGTCACCAGCACCTCCCAGTTTAGTATCATAAAACTTACTAGAAGTGCATTCAACTCCTGCATCCAGATTGTTGATAAATGATCGTTGAACAGAACTGGCCCTAGAATTCCCTGAGGAATGCCATTGGTGACCGGTTGCCAGCCGGATGTAGCCCCATTCACTACAACGCTTTGAACCCTGCTGTCCAGCCTGTTCTTCACGCAGTGCACCATGAAGCTGCTTATCTTGCAGTGGGAGAACTTGTCCAAAAGGATGCTGTGAAAGGCAGTATCAAAAGCCTTAATGAAATCCAAAAGAGCTGCATTCCCCACCTTCCCTTCCTCTACTAGGTGGGTGAACTTGTCATCAAGGGTATCAGATTAGACATGTTGACTGTGCCTGATGATTGTATTGTCCTTTAAATGCCTTTCAGTACCCTGTATGATCTTCTGCATAATTTTTCCCCGGTAATGAGGTTAGACTAACAGGTCTGTAGTTCCCTGGGTTTTCTCTCATGCCCTTCTGGTAAATTAGAATAACACTGGCTAGCTTCCAGTCAGCAGGGACCACCCCAGACTCCTAACACCTTCCATAGAGGATTGAGAGGAGTCCTGCTGTAATATCTACTACCTCCTTCGGTAATCTGGGATGAATTCCACCAGGCCCCATGGACTTACAAAGATTCAACAGATACAACTGGTCATTTATAATTTCAGCATCCACAAATGGAAAATCACTGCTCTCACATGTCCTCCAACTCAGAGGAGCCCAAGATCTATCAGTATTGTCAAAGACAGAGGCAAAAAAAAAGCATTAATGCCTCTGTCTTTTCTTTACCCATATTTGTCAGGTGACTACCTTCACCAAGTATTGGTCCAGTATTTTCCTTAGATCTCCTCTTGCTCCTAACATACTCAAAGAATTGTTTGGTATCTGACCCAACACTGGCCAGTTTCAACTCTAGTTAACCTTTGGCCTTTCGTGTTTTCTCCCTACACATGCAAACCACAGGTTTGTAATCTTCCTGTGAAGCCTGACCTTGCTTCCAGATAGCACAGAATTTCTTTTCCACCTCAGTTCCAAGAGAAGTTTCCTGTCCAGCCAAGATGGTCTTCTGCCCCGCTTACTTGACTTTTGGCACAATGGGATTGCCTGCTCCTGGGCTTCTGAAAGGTGGTTCTTAAAAGACTGACCAGCTCTCATGGATCCCTACGCTGTCAAAAAGCAGATTCCCAAGGGGCACTGCTAACTAGCTCCCTGAGTAGCTTAAAGTTTGAAATCCAGGGTAGCAACTCTGCTTTCCTTTTTTTCTCTCATTACACCAAAAAGTTTAAACTTAACCATTTCATGATCACGGTGGCCAGGACAGCCACCCACCATCACATCTCCCACAAGTCCCTTTCTATTTACAACCAAGTCTAGGAGGGCATCTTTCCTAGTTGGCCTACTGAGTACTTGTGACAAGACATTATCTTCAACACACTTGTGGAATTTCCCAGACTTGCTTGTCACAGTGGTGTGGTATTCCCAGTTGATATCTGGGAAGTTGAAATCTCCCATAATGACAAGGGCTACCACTCCAGGTAGCAATTTTTCCTAATTGCCTAGAGAATAAATCATTGGTGCTATCATCCTGGCTGAGTAAACAATAGCAGACAATCACAATGACATTTGCTTTGTTTTCCATCCTGCTAGCCCCCACCCAGAGGCTCTCAACCCACATCATCCCTAACTGTAAGGGCTGTACAGTCAAACCTCTCCCTTACACATAGTGCAACCCCTCTACCTCACCTGCCCTGCTTATCCTTCCTGAACAGCCTGTAGCCCTGCATCTCCACACTCCAGCCGTGGGACTCCTTCCACCACATCTCACTAACATCAAACGACATCATAGCTCTGGGAACTGACCAACGCTTCCAGTACATACTGTTTATTTCTCATACTGTGTGCACTGGTGTATAAGCATTTCAGATATGCTCCCAAAACCTCAATGCTCCCTGGAACTGTGTTAGCATTGCCACCCTCAGGTGATGCTATGCCATCCCTTGGCTTACCTTTTCTGCTGTATATCAGTATAGTTTAATTCAGATGTTTATATACTGCTCCACTATGCAAACTAAAACACAGCATGTAGGCATTATCCAGAGATGCCCTTTAAAAAAAGGCAAACTTTTAATCTGAATTAAAATGTTAATACACATGCCCAGTGACGAGTGGTGTCCCTCAGGGGTCCATGCTGGGACCGGTGCTGTTTAATGTTTTCATCAGTGACTTAGACAGCGAGATCGAGTGCACCCTCAGCAAGTTTGCAGATGACAACAAGCTGAGTGGTGCGGTTGACACACCAGAAGGACAGGATGTCATCCAGAGAGACCTGGACAGGCTGGAGAGGTGGGCCTGTGTGAACCTCATGAGGTTCAACAAGGCCAAGTGCAAGGTCCTGCCCCTGGGTCGGGGTAACCCCCGGTATCAGTACAGGCTGGGGGAAGAAAGGATCGAGAGCAGCCCTG